ATGACAGCGCGAACGAGACGGTGAGATCCGCGTCACTGCACTACCGACCAATCACGCGACCAGTACTCGACGTCACTACCGAATAAGATTCTGTGGGTTTTATTTTTAGTTCTTGCGCAATTTGAGCACTTTTTAAAAACACACTTAGGCATTGTTTTAACATATAAACACAAAATATTAGCAATATTTCTTTTTGGCGTTCACATGTACGTCGTTTGCATGTCAAGTTGTGACTAAAGCGATTAGGGTCGTGGACCACAATAGGGAAGATGCAATATTTTTATTTTTGTTTTCATTTTCAAGAATTCCATGTAGAATAAACCACAGATATATTAAAAAATTAAAATATTGTAATTTATCGGAAAAATGCGGTTTTAAATTGAGTTTAAATTTTCGCGCGAAAACGGACCTATGGTTCCGGTGACGTCACTCCTGTCTGTTTATTAAATTTTCATACTTTTGTTTATTATTTCGACTTTTGAGATAATATATAAAAAAAAATTAAATGGACTATCCATCAACATCAGGTGATCATAACAATACCACTAATATTCCGAAAAAAAAGCCGTGTTGACTTATGTTTTGTGCCAATGTGTCCATCTACTTCAACAAAGTTTCCAAATAAATTGTTTTTGACTTTGATTGGATTAATTTAATTGACCCAAAAAAGTGGTTTCAAGCTGCGAAAAGAAATGACAATTATTCTCCAAAGACCATTATTCGATGATGTGAAGATCACTTTGACGTAAGTCGGCGAATATACTTGTTACATGCTTAATTAATCTGCTTGTACTTAAAAACGCGTTAGTAGGTAGGTAGTTAGGTAGGCCTAATACTTACAAAACCTGTCTATAACATATTTTTAATTTTACAGTTCTTGAATGACGTCGAAATTTGGATAAAGTTTAAAATGTGTGGCACAATCTTTACATTGGCAGGACTGAAATAAACTTTGCGTTTCATTTAAAATAACTGTAACGATAACCTTCTCTACGTACTTTATGCTCCGCAGTAACTCGACTTTTTACTGTACCTACATAATTCTCCAACCTTTTTTAATTTGGACATAGCCGATTGCGTTTACGCCGTAAGATTCTCTTGTTGAGCTAAAATAACTGCTATGTGTAGAAGCCGCTGTATAAAATACAAAGTTTAAATACAAATGATTTATACATACCGTAGTAATTTAGTCCCTTTCATTTCTACACTTGAAAATCTGCACTTTGGACAAAAAAAGTTACAACCATGTCAACACTAACTCTTGGTAAATTCCTGGAGTCTGCTTTGATAAACGCAACTTCTAATTTTATTAAAAAACGCAATTAATATTCTCATAAAATAATATTCACTTTTACAACATCATCATCATCAGCCTATTAATGTCCCCACTGCTGGGGCACAGGCCTTCCCTATGGATGGAATAGGCAGATTGGGCCATGACCCACCACGGGGGCCCAGTGCGGGTTGGTGGGTGCTAACGACTGCAGATGCAGCCGGGACCAACGGCTTAACGTGCCTTCCGAAGCACGGAGGAGCTTGAGATAGTAAATTTTCGGTCACCCATCCAATGACCGACCACTGCGAAAGTTGCTTAAATTCAACGATCGCAGCGGAACGCGCTAACCACTTGCGCCATCGAGCTCCTCAACTTTTACAACCATAACCTCAAATAAGTTGCCATAACAGGAGTGACGTCACTAAACGCTGATTGGTGTTTTAAAATACGTTTTTTTCAAGTCATTTTTAATTCGTAATTATTGTTAAAAAACAATATTATGTAAAATAAAAACATTGCAGTGGCCTTTCTTTTATATTTTTTCAACATTTTAATCATATTTTTTTATAAATATTACATCTGCATGTTCCCTATTCATACGGATCACTTTTGTGAGGCTAGTGCCGTATCTACCCTTTTTGTTTTAATCTAAGATCCAAACACGGACACGTCGGTTATCTGGATGAGTACTGATTCGCGATTCGTCAACGAACGTGCAAATCCTCCAAGTCTCCGGCATACGCCCCAAAGAATACGAGCATTGGTACAAGCGCGTGAGCACGGGAGACAACTCTGTTGCACTTTTTTTCAGTACTACTGCTGGGATGCCATCAGGTCCACTAGCTTTCCGGACGTCGAGTGATTGCAATTCGGCACGAACCTCACGCTGCCTGATTTTAATATCAGGCATCGTTGTGCCACAGTGAGGTAATGATGGTGGTAGTGCATTGCAATTATCGATTCGGGAGTTAGCCGCAAAGAGTTTTGCCAGTATTTGCCGGCATTCTCCTGCGGCTTATGAGCTAGTGTTCCGTCTGGGCATCTCAGAGGTGGCACGAAGGCTGGCAGAAGTTTTTTTGCACGGCCTTGGCCAAACGCCAATAGCTACGAGACCCCTTAGGATGCGTTATAAGTTCCTGGCCAACACGTGCAACGCGCTGGGCATCCGCTCTGATGTAAGCCTTCTTACAGGCCTTGGAAGCAAAATTGTAGGCTGCTTTGAGTGAATCGACCTCGGGATCCTTGAGAGCGCGGCCTCTGATCCAATATTTATCTTTTTTTTTCTATTAATATTTTTTTTATTAATGTTAATAATGAAACTATTAATTTCTTATATTTCATGAAATATATCCTAACTTTTTTATGTATATCAGCGTCATGTCATTATATTAGATGAAAGATCTTATAATTAATTGTTTTTAAAAAATAATTATATAATAATATGTAAATTAAAATTAATTGTGATAACAATATGAAAACAATAACATAAAGATATTTTTTTGTGAGTTTTCAATTGATATATGTATTATAAAAAAAAAAGTCTAAAATGTCATAAAAATTGTTTAAACAATATAAAAAAATATTTCCCCCTCCAGAGGTTTCTGATTTCAAATAAAATAAAAAACCCAAATTTTTAAGAAAAAAAATCATCAAAATCGAAGCTGTTCCAACGGGTTTCCAGGTAAAAAGCTTCATTGACTCAACTAATATTTTTCAAAGTGATCGCAAACTTTTTTTGATGTGTGTATGTAATGTATTCAATTCGATAAAGTTAGTCAAGATATTTTACTAGGGACCACCCCGGTGATATGGTGTAAATCTATCTTACTTAATAATCGAGAATCAATAGTTGTACTAACGACAATTTTCTTTTCGTACCGTTTCTGGGCCCCAATTCTCGCGGCGTAGATATTATATCGGCTTCGAGATAATATCGAAAGTAGGGATATCTACTGAAAATATCTACTGATGGCAAAAAATGCTATTCTCGTGGATTTTCGATATTCCAATGATATTATATCTATCGTAGACATTCGTTCACTGACGAATGCGTTCCGTTTTTCTTGATTAAGTTAACATCATAGTGTATATAAAATAATAATAAATTAGAGTAGTATTTTACAAGCAAAAAAAAAATTTGTTATATTTTATGAATGCCATTCATATTAAATATGAGTATACATTTTTTGATTATAAGAAATCTCAACTTTACCTAAATTGTATGCGTATTTAATTTCAACGTTAAGTTTAATGAAATGTCAATATTTTTTTAAGATTCTCAGAAGGCAAAGGGAATAATGCCCATACAGCCTAGTCTAGAATTATATTAATCTTCTTTTTTATATTAGAATGTCGATGTGACGCATTCTAATGTTTCTTGGAGTGTTTAGCACGAAATGTATGGAGTTGGCTTTCTCGATAAACTTCTGTGAGGTAGTCAACACTATAATAAAGTTCTCACGTCCTCTTGACCGGAATAGCGTATATTTTAAAGATTCCACTAATTCTTCAGTGGCGCAGACGGTTGTAATACAAAATCACACCTATTTTATTTCACAATATCCACTATGAACGAATTTTAGAATAAATAAAATAAGACGCCAACTGCACTCGAAGAAGTCCCGCCAAAAACTCCGAAACGTCAAACTTCATTCATAACTTTATTTGTCACGTTAAAGATTTCAAACCAAATTTTTGTTTAAACGTATTTTTTTTATGAAGTCGGCATCTCTCATTTTAAATGGGTCGTCCTGCTCTCACAACGCAGCCTTGGCACAGCAGCAGCAGTCGCTTCATTTATTAAGTCATTGACGAAAACATGAATCAACTCATCCATCGTTACTATATATTGTTTTACCTACTTTTTTATTTACTAATTATTTAAAAAGGCAGTTAACAATATCTTTAGGTAACAATAAATGTCAATGACACACGACAACGCAATAAAAATTGGTTAAAAAATGAAAATGACAAGATTGACAAGCCAACATCCATAGATATTTATATATCGAAGGCTCTTTACTAGTCGATGTATGTCTACTGATCATCCGTAGGTAAATATCTATTGCGACATGGTTAGAATAGGGCAAAATGGTTTTCCTTCGATAAAAGCCAGTTCATTCGATATATATCGAAGGTGATATAATATCTACGCCGCGAGAATTGAGCCCCTGGTGGTCTCCAGGTGCTTTTATTAATATTTTCATCGACGAAAACGATTTGATTTTTAACATTTTAAAGATATCTTTGGATTTCTACGTCAAAAATGTGGTAATTTTTGTCAAAAAAAAATTTTTTTAGTGTGTAGTCACGAAAAAAGAAGGCTATTCCAAGCTTCAATCAACAATTAGCTTATCTAAATATAATAATATAGCAATAGTTTTGTTTTCGTGCTTTAACTGAAATACACAACATCCACAACAGGATGATAAAGACTCACTTTTAATGGAGTCCTTAAACACTAATAAAGAACGTTAGATCGTTTTCAAAAAGTTGTCGTTAATCAAAAGTAAAAATAGAGTATTTTATTTTTTAAGAGGAGTCCGAGGAGGGGTTTTTGAAACTGGTTTCCAACTGAAACGTTGGCTCAAAATGCTGAACTTCAATTCCACTTGCCTTAACCGAAGCAAACCCTATCTGCTAAATTAATGCATTATTTTACATGTCCTTTTATTCCAACCCAGTATCGAGGACGAATTATAAGTTTATATTTTTTTTGTTACAGATGTGCACGTGTCTTGCAGTGAGGTATGTGATTCAACTCTATTGCGTCTGAAGGAACGTGAACGTAAACATTTGTCGGTCATTTCGCAACTCCAAAATAATAATCAGGAGCTGCTGCGCGAAGTATTAGCCCTAAAGGAGGAAATCATACTCGGTGGAATAGAAAGTTTTGACATTGATAATAGAAAAACTTAACATTTCCTCAAGCAATTGATTTATTGTTATTTCTTGTTACATATTTCAGTATTATCAGTATACCGTATAATATTTTCGTTATTCCTAGCATAATCAAAATGTAAGTGCCAAGTAAGAAGAAGTAACGTATAAGTGACTCTTTTTGTTAAGTTTCGTGACTTGTTTGTTGATATTACCTACATAACGTCTACTATGTCGGAAATATTTCAATGTAGAATACAAACCTGAGTAGGTATTATGGTAATTAGTGATATTAAATATGAGCTTTATTGTTGCAAAATAATATTTGAGACTTCCTGTATGATAGACAAAAGTTTTTTCTACTATTTTAACGGATTACGCAGCTTTAATTGAAAGTTACCGAAATTTCAAAAGTAAAAGGAATCTCTTAATAAACAAGTGGTTTTGTACCTAATCTAGCCATAAGTTCTGTTACAAACGAAAATGCTTTTTTATAAAGTAATGTGCCGCAGAAAAAAAAAATAACTATTCGAAATGGCCACCTTTGACTTTTATGCAGGCCTTTTAATCTGTTTGGCCACGAATCTATGGATTTACGCAGTTTCCAAGAGAAATTTCGCCACTGCTTGCTCCAAAGATTTTTTAAGAGATTCAATGTCGCCGTGTCGTTTAGAGTCCATGAGCTCTATTTTTGATTCGCTCGCCTGACATAGTATCGTCAAATGCAACTTAAGTCACTTTCGACTTCCAAGTCGCATGATACTGATCGTCCGTATTTTTGAATCATTCGTCTACAGTTACCAGTTTAATACAAAATAATAATTTTTATGAATTTCACGGAAAATGAAAAAAATCACTCATTACCGCTGTGAAAAAAAAACGTATAATTCTTAATAACTGGTTATTTAATCTTTTGCCTTTTTTGTAAGAAAACATCAAAACGTCGCAACAAATCGTCATCTATAGATAAGATGACGATTTAAAAAGATTGAGAAAATATCTTGAAAATATCTGACATATATTTGACAATATAATTATTCTACCATACGCCTCCATCATTCGTCAACGCGCAACGACCGCAAGACCGCTTATTGACGTCGAGGGATTCAAAACTACGGAAATTATTATGTTGCATGAAAATTAGTAGAAATCGAACGTTCGACGCAAGGCGAGTGATTCAAAAATTAAGCTCCATGTGCTTTAAGGCGCTTTGCAGACGGCGGGGCGGAGCGGGCCGGTCAATTTCGCCGCGAACTATAGCACAAAGTGAATCCTATACTACAAACGCACGCAGAGGGCAAAAAGACCGCGCCGCAGGTGCCCGGCGGGCACTGGCGGCGCGGCATGTCCGCGGCTGCCCGCCGTGGATCATGCAAACCAGTTTATATGCAGTAACGCAGACGGCGGCGCGGGGCGGCTAGCTCAGTCCGCGCCACGCGCTTTTTAGTGATGGACTATTCACTAGAACGAACGTTCTGAACTGACTGCCTCTACCCGTCGTGTGCTTTGTGAACGCGGTGAGGGCAGCCGCAGACATCGACGGGCAGACGCAGTTTTTATTGCTTCGCGGACAAAAAGCCCGCCCCGCCCCGTCGTCTGCAAAGCGCCTAAAACTGACCATAATTTTAAGTCTAAAGGTCTGGGCTAGATGAGGGCCAGTCTTCAGCTCTTATAAAGTCCGGAACGTTGGTTTCAAGCCAGGCTTGGGTAGTTCTTGCCTAGTGACCAGGTGCAAAATCCTCTGGAAAGCCCACGGTATATTTTTAAAAAGTGTATTGCTGACAGCTTTCACAACATGATCCAAGACTGTATCTTGTTACACTTTGGCTGAAGTTTTCTCTCCTTTTTCACAAAAATGAAGTTTTTTATGACTCCTTGACACGCCCCACCAAATCATCACTGACGCAGGATAACTACGTTGTAGCTTTCCGACCACTTGAGCAACTTCTTTAGAACTGTGAGCGTACACTTTATCATTTTGCTTATCGTAGTGTTCTTCAGTCGTGTTTTTTTTTTATCGGTAAAGAGGACATTTCTGTGCTTTTCACCTGCGTATTGGGACAGAAGGCGTTTTGATCGATCCACTCTCTTTAATTGTAAAATTGATTCAGGGACTGTCCTGTATATCAACGATAAGCACCGAGCTTCAGGTCTTGTTTTATAATACGCGACAGAGTCTTAGCGGGGATCTATAAAATCTCTATGAAATCTCTTGGCAATCTAGCGGGATTTCTCGCAATAAGATATTTTGCTTCTTAATGGGTTTCCACGATTTCTGGCTTTAAAGGCATTAACAGCCTTTATAGTCGTAGGTCTTCGACAAACGAAGTGTAGTTCTTTGTATCTTTTGATAGTACAATATACGAACATACTGCTGATATCAAGCTTTTGAAGTGTCTGGAATATGACCGACTCCATACCCACTTTGTGCAAGGCGCTCACTGTAATCCTATTTTCTTTAACACCCCATTCCATATTGTTATTTGATAATGAAACGAAAAAATATGTGAATAGGAGCAAAATCGATAGTTTTTTTTTTCAATAATTTATGTGTTCCAAATTCAAAATTATTAAAAAGTTAAAAAACATATGTCAAAGCTTTTTTTTATGTAACAGTATTTATGGCGAAATTAGTTATACTTTGATAAATAAGCGGGTAAGTAGGAAATGTATCGGGAATTTAAGTATTTTATTATCGATTGTATTGTTAATAATAATTAAGGACAGTAATGCACCTAGGTACAACGGATCTAAAAAAGAAATAAGCACAAAGAAAATAAATATAAGAATTTTATTATTTTTACATTGATTCAATTTGGTTATAGACTAGATCGATTAAAACAATTTATGTAGTTTTTAAGAGTCGAGGAAAATTTATTCTCTGTTCATAGTTTTTAAAGTGTTATAAAAGTTAAAGTAAATTCCAAGTAGTGCTTAATCTTGACAGAGAAAAAAAAACATGTTTTTAATATTAACCCACAAATGAATCTCTCAAAAATTACACATAACGATTACCTACTAATTAATAAAATGTATTTTTTACGTTTTCACTGGCAGTGGAATATATTTCCGATTAGTTAAGCGATTCACATTGTTAGTACTCCTGTGATTATTGTGATCTATTTTAAGTATTAAATGACATAATGTTTAAGTTTTAACATTGTATTAGAGAATTAAGTATCATGCCAAACTATGACTGCTACAAGGTGCCTTATTCGCGTGCCTATTTTGTACCTATGAAAAAAATATTCACATTATAAGTATTGATTAAAATGCATACTTAGTATTTTAAGTAACACTATTTGATATTCAAATCAATAAACGATTTCATTTGGTTTTTATCAGTATAGCTTTTGTTTATTTTTAAAAGAACCCACTTAACATTCACGTAACGATTTATTTGACAATGAAATTAGAATTTAATGAGTATCATCTAACTTCCTCTAATGTACAAGAACAACTCAAATAGTAAATATCTGGGGATTCTAAGTGATTCGCTAACGTAGTTTGGATGGTTTGTAGCACGCTTGTGGAATAAATTATGGTGGCATTATATCAGCTAACCATACGAGCATTACCGCACTATTCACAACCAATCAAGCTTTGTCTCCGCTACTGAATCATTCTACACTCAGACGTGACTGCGCGCGCGCGCCTTGTTCGAAACTGCCGCTTTATCGCGAGTGTTCTAAAGATTTTGATAATAGTACTATCATTACCTACATCACTGTGATAAAAGTCGCTGAGGACTGGATTGTCTTAAGAAAATAAGTTTTTAACGTTACGTATTATGCAGTGCACGAAGTGTCAATTGTTATAACTGCTGGTATCAGTGAATTGTGACATTTTGTCGGATGCCCCGGCACGCACCATGGGTACGAAGAAAACTATAAAGATCACAGTGGTCGGAGATGGCATGGTCGGCAAGACCTGCCTGCTGTACGTGTATACTAAGAACGAGTTCCCAGAGGAATACGTTCCGACAGTGTAAGTTCATACAGTACTATTATTTATGCTGCACAGAAGGTTGGCAGGTACTTTGACTGACCGAAGGGTCACTGGGGCAGGAACGTCGCGAGAGTTACGTGAGGTCGATCCACTAAATTAGCAAGGTGATGTGCCGCAACGTTGTTATCACTATGTATTTAGGTATTCGTGATGTCATAACACTTATAGTGGTTGTATGGATTTACCGGTTTTATTTATTTAATGGATGACGCATAAGAACCTTAGTCAAACAATTTATTCATAGTAGGCAACAATTCTATGTTGTACCGTGTAATTTAGATTAATTTCAGAATATTTACTTATGTGCTGTTCAAAAGGAAAATCTTTCATGATTATAGCTGTTCATTGTTTATTAATAATGACTTTATATTGAGTTAATTTTATTGTCATCTATACTAATATTATAAAGAGGAAAGACTGGATTGTTTGTTTGTTTGTATTTGATAGGCTCCGAAACTATTGGACCGATTTGAAAATCATTTGAATACTACTTTATCTCTGATTAACATAGACTATAGAGTATTTTCAAAAAAGTTGGGGTTTTGTATGAAAAATCGATAATTTAACCCAGGGTGTGAAAAAATACCAAAAAAATAACCTTATATCGCTTACGCTGCGGAAGTCATTGACAATAGAGCAAAGTGATGTTCTAAAGTTTTATAGAGGACATAAATATCTACAAAAAAAGTCCTCGATATCATATGTCTAACTATTACAGTTATCTCGCAATCACAACTAAAGGTCCCCTGCGGTTTCACCCGCGTTAATTTGAGCAAAAAGGTTCTAGTGAGTCAAACGCACGCAACAAAATTTTCACTATCAGTTAAATTCATGGAAGGTTTATAATTATATAAAGAAATCCATTGTGTATATTACAAGCCAGAGAACAAAAACTATAGTCTACAGTACAGCTGTATACCAAAGCAACGCGAGGGCGGGCCACTATTTAATTTATATTTTAGGATATCATATTGCCGCACCATGGCAATATGATTGCCAATCTTCATTGTACCGATCTTATCACCTGTTAGTGGACCTTGCTTCGATAAACATGGCAAGGCAACGTTTAATTCTATATTTAATTCCTTGTTTATCTAAAGTTTGGTTTCTTGAAGTTTTTAATTATTATTCCACGATGCCAAAATGATGTCTTTAAATAAAGTAAAGTGTTAACCCGAACGGAAAAGCGAGCTAAGATTTTGATAAAAAAAACAGTAAATGATAAATATTAGTTGGAAGGAAGACGGTGATGAATCGATCAACTTTACGTCACTAACATTGATACATCAACAATCAATGTTGACATAAAGCCGTGGAGTTAATCAGTACAAGTTATGTTGAACATATTTCTTTGATGACTAATTTTCATATTCATGCAAAAATTTTAAGCTTATCATGTTTCTTTATTGAGATTAAGTTCCTTAATTTCATTTAGAATGTGGATGAGATGAGGGCTTATTTTATTTGATCTCATGTCTGGACTCTCGTTCCTACCTATCTGGCTAACATTAATGTCTAGAATTAAATTTTCTCCTGCATTTATTTTAGGGCTTCAAATTACAAATCATTACCCATATCTAAAACTAATTAATCTTTAGCTAAAAACTTCGGTACTCAAAAATAATAGTTAATCGTTTACATTACAACTCATTAGCTGTTCTTGTGTTTTTAAATATTATAATAACAACTGGCGCAACGCTAATAAGCCTTTCTTTTGAAAGTAGCAGCAAAGTTCTTAAGGTACTTGCGAATGAGATATTTAGCTACCGACGGACGGACGCGGCATGGCTAAATATTTAACAGGTCGTCCTGCTCACCTCGTGATTACCGACTGCACTATTTATAAAGTCAAATACGAATACGTCGCGGCATTGTTGTATTGTGATCGGTCGTCGCTTCCTCTTTATGAAACTGGACGCACGCCTACTCGTCGACTTCCTTGCGATTCGTCTCCGTGACACATATTGCGGTCCCACGCGCAAGTCAATAGCCGTTTCATAAATGTTCTCTAACACAAGTTTTTACGTAAAATAGAGTAAAGTTATGGCTTTTCCTATTCCTGAAAGGGTAGAAAGAGATCAGAGATCACTTTCCACTGGATTTGCACGATCCTGTTTCGTTTATAATGTCTTTCATTTGAAAATGAAAATGTCATGATGATCGACATAATCCTACGTGAGGCTAGGTCTTCTCTGCTCTGCAAGTTCTCATCCACTCCTTTCAATGGTTCTTTGTAAATGAGGTTAGCATCTGAACATCGCTTTCTGATACATTAAAGCTTCATGCTACATCCCACGCGCGTGAGTAAATTAAGTTTTCCATTCCCCAAAAGTTGACAACGGAAATATATTACTAAGCCTCTAATGACCGTTTGAAGTACAAACGGTCATTGGAGGCTATGTGTTAAGCAGGTTGTATCTTAGACCCGCAGCTGACAGAGAGATAAGTTTTCATAGACCTAAGACTATTTCTATTGCCATTACTTTATAGGTCTCCATAAAATTAGAACAAGTAAATAAGCAAATAAAATTAGGCAACGAAGACGAAGTCACTATTACCGTAATATTACGATTGATGCGAAAGTTTCTCTGTCTGATAAGCTCTCACGTCAAAACAAGAGAACTGATTTTGATGAATTTTGATGAGAAATTAATGGTACCTATAATAGGTACATACCAATAATCTGTAGAGCATAAAAAAGAAATCGGATGAAAGTTTCGAAATAACCATTAATTACATTACCAGCGCTGTAGGAGGTTATTTTTCAGGTTTACTATATAAATGGTCTTTTATATCCACCAGAGGCGCATTAACCCTAGGGCCAAAAGGGCTATGGCCCAGGCCGGAGGGAAAAGCTGATAAGGAAAATACTTTTTTTACAAATTTATGGGGTGGCAAATGTTAAGGGCCCGGAGCGCCAATTTTTAAATACGCCCATGATGTTCACCTAGCATTTTAAACCCCCTCTTATATTTCAACAACTCCACATATTGAGCTTATACTTACTCCTTAATTGGGTGTGTATTACTGGTTGCCGATCCATTCGCAAGTTTCCAAAACTACTGCTTGATAAACTTCACCATCTGCGTGAGAAAGTTGGTAGCTGATATTGTATTCTATAGTTTTCAGTACAATTGCCGTTGTTTAAAACGGTAGCCAATTTGCCTAAAAGGGACTTCGAGATTAACAGTACTATACACTTGGATACTATTTAACTAACATAAGTAGGATAGGTCGCGGCAAACTTCTTGGGCAAAACCACAGACAAATAAACATGCACATTAGACGTTTTTGTATGTAAAATTGATACTGCGCAGGCTTCCTAGTGTATGGTCGTTGCTCAAGAAGTTTGCCGGGATGTATATTTCTACTGTGTTAAAGAAAGGATCATATTTAGGGTTACCACCCGAGTCAGGACTTTGTCCGGATTTTTTAAATTACATTGAATATGAATAATAAAAATACATATTGATTTAAATACCATACCATTGTAACTAAGTGAGGTTTTGTGACTAATAAGTCCGCAGGACTTTTGAAATTCCTAAACGGTGACCCTAATCATATTCACAGATTTGACAATTATGTTGGATACATCACCGTGGATGGTGTGGAAGTAGAAATGGCACTATGGGACACAGCGGGACAGGAAGACTACGAGCGGTTAAGGCCGCTATCTTATAACCAAGTAAGAATTTACCTCAATACTTAACTGTCTACAATATGCTCAATATTATAAAATAAGATAGAAGAATATTATAACATATGGAACTTTTTATATTATGTACAAACTATGTTTCATGCAAATAAACTTTCATTTCATTTAAGAATTACACCTATATTTAGAACAATGCATTTAATGCTTGCTTTTTCCACCGCGCCCTGATGGAAATTCTATATTATACCCAATTTTTGATTAGGAGACGGTAGATCCCATCTTTCTGATGTTACATATATATGCGGCAGTCAGAGCATCAGGGAATAATTCATACTGATAATTAATAAATGTGAAAGTAACTTTTGGTCTGTCTGTCCATTTATTTTTGCCTATAACACTTTCTTGCCTTAACCACTGAACGGACTTTGATTAATTAGATAGTAAAACTGGAAACCAATAAGTTCATTCAGATGTAAAAGAAACTTAAAGCCAACGTGAGTGTCGTGAAACACTCGGTTGGAACGAAGTTTAAAGTAAACATAAGAGCACAACCACGCACAATACGCTACGAAACCGCTGACGGTTGTGAGGGAAAATTCTTACACTTTTTTCGTCTAGCTCTCATCCGCGTACCGTTCGAAAAGGAACTATGTTCCATCCAAAAAAAAAAATTTTGTTCCTAAGTCCGACTTTGGCCGGACTTAGTACTGAATGAGGCTGGCAATGTAGACCTAAAAGCTAGACCTTCTGTTCTAATCTTGTTTCCATGCAGACGAATAACGCAATACACATATCGACAGCCAGACCGGCTTTTCTGGCTGTCGATATGTGTATTGCGTTATTCGTCTGCATACGCAAGTAGGTACACGGCCTGAATAAAGCCAAACATGTCCGATTGATAAATGGCAAATACCAGGTAAATTTATTTAAATTAACATTTATTTACCGGGAAAACGTTCAAAATACAACAAAAAAACAATTTCGTTTTTGAATTGCTGCGTTCGCTCAGTTTTAATTTAATTAACTTCTTGCTCGGTCCGGTTGTGACACAAGCTTAAGCTTTATATCCGGTTTGGGACAAGACATCTCCCTGGTTTAAAATAGCCCACTCTTATACAGTATATAATATTTCCTTTATTCCTATTAGTTCGGTTAAAAAACCAGCAATATTTATCTATAGCCATTCGTATATACTAAATCAGTAACTACATGGTTGAATTGTTGATTCCAGACTGGCTGCTTTTTGGTCTGTTACTCCGTTGGCAGCCGATCCTCCTTTGAGAACGTCATACACAAGTGGTATCCTGAACTTAATCATTTTAGCAGTTCGGTGCCCATTGTGCTGGTAGGTGAGTACCTACCTTTACTTTTAAATAGTACTAACTTTTTTAAATTAAATTCACCTCCAACAAAATTCTTGCATAAAGTTTACCAGTCATTGTCGGCCTACAGTGTTAAACATATTAATGCAATATTGCTACTACATAATATTTAAATAGATATCACTTATTGATTCAAGACGTGTAAAATACAGCAATTTTTTTTCATCTAGAACAAAATACAGTCGTATTGAGAACCTCCTCCATTTTTTTGAAGTCCGCTATGAAGGATACATTCTGTCCAGTTTTATAGTAAAAGAACAGTTCGTGCATTTTGAAATATACTAATATATGCCGAATAATATGATAAGAAAACTTATAAGAACTGAATTAACAATATATACATTTAAATAACAAAAACTTAATAACTCTCTAAATAATATATAATTTACAAATATTTCACCCCCAGCGCCGCCGAATATATTATGTATGCCAAAGCAGTCTTTACTTTAAGCACTCGTTAATCTATCATAGTATAGTATAGTATATTAAATAAAGAGAAAAGGATATACTGACTCATCAACGCACAGCCGAAACAGCTGGACCTATAATGATGAAATTTAGACAGTTGGTTCCTATTATTGTCTAGACAAGTAATGAGTTGGGATTTTTGAAATTCTGCCCCTTAAGTGTGAAATTTGCAAAAAACGGTTGTTCGTAAAATCTTATCCCTTGGACCTATTGACTGTAAATTTTGCATAAACATTATTTAATAGATGTACACTAAGCCACCAAATTTACACAAAATTTCTTGTTAAAGTTTGTATGGAGGATCATCCAAAAGTGCCATAGGATTTATTATACTATATAAGTACTTAACTACATTAATTTAAGTAAAGGAATTATGACATGATTACGTATCGTGGCATTTTATATTTTTCCTTCCCAATAAACCAGTAGAAGTATCATCCTGTGTTAACTGTCATTTATAACAACGATTTACCTCATTCGCAATTGATGAGTATGTTTATTGAAAATATAATATCGTCATAGAGTAGGTAAATCCTATAAGTAATTAATTCTTATATACTTATTTGAATCTACATTTATAGTTGTTTTACCCAGAATGTTCCTTTATAGTGACGTCAAACTTATAAGTGCGTAGTTAGTAAAAAAAGCTGAGTACGTATAGTGCGTTTCAGGGTACGCGTAGTCAGACGGTTACGTTATACGCTTGCCTTGGTACGTCATATCCATGAGAAGTTATAGCGAATTTATTTGAATTTAAGCGTCCCGCGTTTGGGGAAGTAACCTTGACGGATTTTACTTTTGAAGGGAACAGTAAAAGCGCTTACTGACTTGCCTGCCGCAGGGACAATCTAGGGTGTAAGAGTGGGGATGACCCTAAATTGCCTCCTGAATTGTGATGTGTGTAGGCAAATTGGGACAATTTTCTAAATCGGGCCTGCGGCAGGGCGGCAGGAGCGCGCGACCACCCTTGCTCACTAGATTGTCCCAACCGCCCTGCAAGTTGCCGCGTATGTAGCGCGATTGGGCCAATTTCTCAATCAGTCGGTTAGTAGCTGTCACACGCAGCGCACGTATTTCGATCATAATGAGCATGAAGTTTGGACACGAGTGATCGAAGTATATAAATACCGGCCCACATGTGGGATAAAAAAAAACAAACATTAATTATATATTTTTTAAATTAATTTTCATTTTTTAAGTATGTGACTGCTCGATGTTTAAATCTAAAGAAAATATTACTAGAAAAATAGAAATAGTTTTTTTATTAATTTTTTCTTGTAATATTTTCTTTAGATTCAAAAAATTCAAAAATTCAATTTACATTGCTTAAAAAATTTAAATTATGACTTTAATTGCTATTTCTTCTTTTAAATGTTTAATACTAGTAAAGGTAATTATTCATTTGACATTGTGGGTTACATATAATGCGAAGAGATGGCGCTGCCTTGCAGCTTAAGAAAGGCTAGAAAGAATTCGATACGGCTGTCAGGGTCGCGGTAGCATAATTGATCAGTCCATTCGCCCGGATAGCGAAGGGTGTGGGTTCGAGTCCCGTCTGCTGCCAGGCCCGCGTGGATTTTTTTCTAATCATAAACATTACTTATTTACAATACATTTCTTTCTGTTGCCAATTCTTCACCCAGTATTTCCTTTTTTACGGTAACATATTTTTTGATAACACTGGGACCATCATCAACGCGTGTGTTTAGCTCAACATACGCCCGAACACTGAATAGCAGGCATGTGTGTAGAGACAAGCCGATATTGCGCCGACCGCCCGTGCACCCTAGATTGTCCCTGCGGCAGGCAAGTCAGTAGAGCGTTTAAAATAATGCAACTTTTGGTAGTGTTGTGTTTCTGTTAGTAGTAGGCCGGCGAGGTAAGACTAAGGATGGCTGATGGTGGAGTATATTTATCTCCCGCATCAGCTATCTTCGCGATCGAACTCCAATTACACTTTATATTGAGTTAGATAGTATAATTTGCGGTCCTATGAATGAAAAAAACTGCGTAAGTTATATAATTAACTATTTAAATATGCGGTTTAATAGAAAACTTGCCGTATCCGGAGGAGGATTAATTGGCGAAAATTTTAGTTAATTAAGTTCATTGAATAGAATGGGCCCGTTTTAATGTCCTTTGCTCTGCAATGTAGTTCGCTAATGACAATTTATATTTACCTATTCACATTAATGGGGTCATTAGAAATCGAGTTCCCACTGCACTCAAGGTCGATCGGTGCATAATATAATTATTGTCAAATTAACGGAGCTTTAATTAAAGTATTTATTTTCGCGTTAAGTGGTAAATAATAATAAATATAATTAAGTGTAACTTTATGCCTAATATCATTAAGTTTGCCACTTGTACACTCATTTGTGCAATAAAGTATAAATAAATTAAATAAATGAAGATTATTCGATATATTTTGTTTATTGACTAGACATTGTAAATTCTATTGGAAAAGAACACCTTTTATTAGTTAAAGTTTTCTAACAAGTCTTGTTTTAGTTGTCTTTACTAATGTAGGTATACCTTCTTCTATAAACATTTATTTTATTCAAATCGTTTTGAAGCGTCCGGTATTCATTGGCCATTGTTTGATGTTGTTATCATTCGTATTGTGTTCTTAATTCGGTATACCTACATACGTACAGCTAAGGTCGAAATTAAATTAATAGTTACTTATTGTGCGATATGTCTAACCGATTCTGTATCCGTTTGCAGCAACGAAAACAGACCTGCGAGCTACCGGCAAAGCAGTTGTCACAACACAAGAAGGAAAGAAATTAAAAAAGAAAATACGGTTAGTACGCATATTACAAAATCGTCTATATCTCACAGTAAGGGTTTAGAGCATTATCAGCGTTCATTATCACTGCTAATGTTAATGTATTTATATCTTTTTGTGTAGTTTCATTAAAATAACAGAATTTAAGTGAAATTGACGAGGGCTATCGGGCGCGAGAGCCGGCAGCTACTATCGTTCCCTTATCGCGAGCTGATAACGCTTGTGATATGACGACATCACCAATTGTACAGAAAACATTAAATTTGTAAAGTACCAAGTTACAATACAATCACAGTAGAAACATGAAAAAAAAATAGATTACAAAATATAAATATTGTTTGGGATGACATTTTTTTTATCTGGCGTCCGCGCTATTCAAGTTCATCCACCGTTCCACCCGATATATTTATATACTTGACCAAGCTTAGTGTATTGATATAAATGGGGAAGAGATCAAAACAGACTGGACAAACGACTGCGAAGGATTTTTTTTCATGTTAAAGAAGGGGTACGCAGGGTAATAAGTAGACTGGAATTGCCTGTGATCGTGTCACCATTATCCAGCCCTTACATTGTAAAAATGAGAGAATGCGAAATCCCCGATAATCATGAATCTCCATGACACACTTACACAATGCCCCTGATTCTAGCGTGGTTCTCTTAACTTTAAAGGAGACGGTTCAAAATTTTTTATGTAGTGTTTAGTGCATTTAATTTTAAATCATTTGACAAAAAAATAGAACTTATTTTACCCCCTTTTTTAAGTTATTATTATATTGAAAAATTTTATAATTATTGATTGGCAAATGGCAAGTTTATTTATCTATTTTTTGTTTCCAAAGCATCAAATATATTCTTTTCAATAAGTAACTAAACCAGTGGCAGTTATCATGTTCATATTTGAAGCAGAGTCAATAATAAATTGGTACTAAAAGTTCACCACGATTTTACGAATATCATGCATGACTGGACTGATTGATATTTGTCATAATAATTGAGTTGAAGTTATAAACTGCCATAATAAAAATTTATGACGTTACGTATGATAAGGGTGGTCAGCATCCTTCCAAAATTGTTAATTTTTTAAACACGATTTTAAATTAATTGTGTATAACTGAAAGCACAAACCGTACTTCCAACAAAAAGAAAAATAAAAAAACAAAAAGCTTCTGCTCATATTTTTTTAAAATTTTTACGCATCATTTTAAGAGATGAGCTGGCGTGGAAAGGCAAAATCACATAATTGTATTTTTTGTATTTTTGTTTATAGGGCTGCCCGCCTAGTGGAGTGTTCTGCGCTAGAGAGAGTGCACATGAACGAAGTATTCGAGGAGGCGGTGCGCGCCGCGCTCCACAAGAAGCCCGTCCCCAAACGCAGCTGCCAATATCTTTGATCATTCACCACATAATTTTATCATGAGACCTGACATAGCGCTGCATAGCGAATAAGAGTTATCTATATATACTCTTTCTTCGGCGTTTCTCCGTCGATCTATCTTTTTGAACATAGCATCTTTCTATACAACAATGACGGTCCAAATGCGTAGGCTAAGTTTCTGTAATTTAGAAAGGGATAAAGCGATGAAAATTCCCGACGAATATTACGGATGTAGGTAGATACACCGTTATTGTTAATATTTTGTGCCGCAACTCCTTTATCATGCTGCGAGGATGGTCGACTATTACCACACCGTTGTAACAAGTAGATATCCGTACTACAAAAGAAATGATCAGTATTTTAAAATACTTTTTTTAATGGTGCCAAGGTAAAATGCTCGTTATTTGCTGTTTTTTTTAAGCTCGAGATTCTTCATTATTCCTGTTATTAATACTGTAGGTAGGGTACCTACGGATTTTACAAATTTATTAATCTAGATATTGTAATAATTAGTTTGCCAAGAATGCAGAACATAATGTTGAGAATAAAATAAAATCGTTAATTTTATCATTATATTCTTTAATAATAAACTGTGTGAACAATGTAAATAATAGATATTTCTTAGATATTTTTAATTATATTTGTTATTTTCTAAACTACAGTATTTATGAATTGCATTTTAATTTTTATATTAGGTAATAAAGGCAATATAAATTAAGAGAATTATTAATGTAATAGAAAAGTCTTTGCAAAATAAATTGTTTAGTTAAGTGATATTAAACTGATTCAATGCAAAACCAAATGATATAATATTGATTCTTAAATTTATACAAATAGTTTTATTTGTTCCCTGTTGTTTTTACAAAATCTATCTTGTTTGGCATTAAAGACATGGTTGTTCGAAAGCAGAAAGCAGTTAAGAAAGAGGCTAAAGTTAGAGAAAGATCTAAATGCACCACTAAGGCCCGTATTATAATAATAGTTTACATTTTATAGTAATTCTATAGAATGACAACTAAGTGTTGATATTTACTTGAGTACAATTAGAAAGGGATGTTGCTATGTGCTATATATAGCGACATCCCTTTCTAACTATGCTCAAGACTAGATCAATCACTGAGAATCTTTCTATAATATGGGCCTAAAACTGAGGGGGTGGAAGAGTTGTCCCCTGATGGGACATTTGGCAATATTTCATCCCAGTATCTATGTACCAACTATCGCCAATGTTACGTATGTGCACTTGCACACTACGTAGTGATAACAATTGTTTTTAGGGTCCGCACCCAAATGGTGAAAATGAAACCCTATTGCTGTCACTCTGTATTCTGTATGTCGGTATGTCTGTCCGTATATCACGAGTCTCTAAATCGTAAACGAAATAAGTTACAGAAATTTTGGTATTTTATTTAAACTGCTTGCCCAGAGCCGCCCAAATATTTATTTAAAAATTCAATTTTATTATTTTTCCAATACATGAAAAAGAGACTTTTTTTTTCTTTTTTACCAATCAGGTCTAGAGCTTGTTGAGTAGGCTATAAATATTTTTTTTTAACCATGAAATGGCCCCGGGGCCATAAAAGTTGTTATTTTTAGACCATTTTTGTTAGGGGGTCGCCCCCTAAGAAGTGCCGCCCCTGCCGCCCCCACTACGCTACGCCACTGTATGTTCCAAACTAATGAGAGCAGCGCAGGACGAGCGAGTGTTTGTGGCAACTGGCACCCGCTGCGGGCGCGCGTGGGTCGCGTTCACCCGCAGACGTCAGATCTCACCGCGCCGAAAGCGCAGAAATTTGCAGTCTCGTGAATTTTTAAATAAATTTGATATGCGGCCGTCCGCGGTGCGGCGTGTCACGCACAAAAAGCCGCTCCGTGAGTTCGTAACCTTAAGTCGGAAATGTTTTTGTCGGTCGTGTTGATGGTCGTGACTCGTGATGCGTCATAGATGTATCATCGGGTTCATACATCTAGTACGTTTAGTTAGAGTGAGTACGGCGTCAACACATCGTGACACACAAAAATTGTAATCGTTCTAAATGTATGAAACCGATACCTCTCTGACACGTCACGACACAACAAGACAGACAAATATATTTCCGCCTTTAGAAGTATTATTAAATTAATTTTGTATAACGCTTGTGGCCAGGAATTTATATACCTAACGGTAAGCATATCAAAAATACTGGTGTCGATTCGGGCAGGGTTCTCTAAACTTAAACATCTCTCCTTCTCATTCTGTATTTAGAATGACTGGGATATTCACTGGTAGCTTTCCAATTACAGCATTATAGCACATTATGCGGCATAATGCTTAACGTTGAGTGTTCCAACTACAGCAACGCTTGAGCACTCTCAAAAGTGATGCTTTCGTGTGATGCGTGCAATCGTACCAACTTAGAGACAGAAAATTAACAAGTGTTTTTTCTTTAAGTTGGCATTGGTGTCGATTCTGGCAAGATTCTCTAAACCTAAACTTAAATTTGACAACAGTGTATCCTTGTCAATCTGTACACAGAATGAAAAGGAGAGACAGATGTTAAATTTAGTTTTAAGTTTAAAGAATCATGTCAGAATTGACACCATTGATCGAAATGATTTATTTATATGTTATCATTAGTAATATTATTTATTGTTGAAAATTTATTAAAACTTTCGTTTCATCATAGTTTTTTTTAAATAATCAAAGTTAATTCAGACTGCGTTAAAAATTAAACATAAATATGGATGAAGGTACAAATATTGACTTTTTTTTTCAACACTGAACTTGGCGCACTCTGCTGGTGCATTTGAGAACTAATTCACGTTCACTTTCCAATTGAAAAAAAAAGTCAATGTTTGTACCATCATCCATACTTATATTTATTTTTTTAACAGTTTGAATGGACTTTGATTATTTTAAAAAAACTATTTAATGAAACGAAAGCTTTAATAATTTTTCAACAATAAATAATATTACTAACGATAACATATAAATAAAACATTTCGATCAATGCCAACTTAAAGAAAAAACACATGCTGTAATTGGAAAGCTACGATAGGTACGATGGTAGCTTTCCAATTACAGCATTATGCGGCATAATGCTTAACGTTGAGTGTTCCAACTACAGCAACGCTTCGCACAATGAGGGCTATCGCGTATGAATCCGCCGCTAGAGGCACTAGTGTAGCGTGAGGTCTCCGAAATGTCAAATGTTATTGCTTGTTGGTTGACTACGCGGGTTTATTTCTAATTAAAATAATGTTGTGAATGATTGGTAACAATTCGGCTTAATTATGGCAAATATGAGTTATGTGGCAATGAATGTCAGTTATTAAAAATTTGAGCTTAGAAAAATGATTATGTTACCATTTTTTCCGAATAAAACGGAACTGCGCGTCACTGTGGCATGGCCTATTATGTTTAGGATATGGTTCTTTTGTGTTAAAATACGATCTAAATGTAACCTTTGATTTCATGTGCGTATTAATAAACTTTAAAAGTTACAATTTAGGACCTCACTCAACAGTGGCGCCATCTGGTGAGTCAGAAAACGGTAGCCCTCATTGAGCACTCTCAAAAGTGATGCTTTCGTGTGATGCGTGCAATCGTACCAACTTAGAGACAGAAAATTGACAAGTGTTTTTTCTTTAAGTTGGCTTTGATCGAATTGTTTTATATATATGTTATCATTGGTGTCGATTCTAACATGATTCTCTAAACCTAAACTTAAATTTGACAGTAGTATATCCTTGTCATGCTCTATACAGAATGAAAAGGAGAGACTGATGTTAAATTTAGTTTTAAGTTTAGAGAATCACGCCGGAATTGGCACCATTAGTAATATTATTTATTGTTGAAAAATTATTAAAACTTTCGTTTATCATAGTTTTTTTTAAAATAATCAAAGTTAATTCAAACTGTGTTAAAAATTACATATAAATATGGATGAAGGTACAAACATTGACTTTTTTTTTCAACACTGAACTTAGCGCACTCTGCTGGTGCATTTTAAAACTAATTCACGTTCCAATTAAGCATCAGCATAATTCTGATCACTGAGTCGCATTATGCTCTGTAATTGGAAAACCACCTATATCTCGTTCTGACACCATAGAGGTATAAGAATAGAGTGGGGAAGGCGGCTCTAAAGTGTCCGTCTAGTAGAAAGAGAAAAAAGATGAGAGACGGCTAGTATTTTCTCTCTAAAATGCGCATTGGATGAAAAACCTACTGATGAATACAGACCAATCACACGACTGCGCAGCGTCACAAGAGAGAGAGATAGCTAGCCGTCTCTCATCTTCTTTCTCTTTCTACTAGACGGACACTTCCCCTTGGAGTAGAGTAAATATCTCCCCTACTCTTTTCTTATACCTCTATGTCTTGACAGCAGTGTCAAGTGTCAAAGTAATAGAACCATAGACATTTTGATACTATGTCTATGAATAGGACGAACTTTTTTATCAAAGTGACATACAAAAGGTGCGATTCTTTCCACGCAGAAATGTTATAGGTTTTTGTAGATTACAGCCAATGTTTGACAGCAGTTATAATAGTACACAATTACGCACAAGTGCCTATTACACACGAGAGACCTTGATTACACACAGAACGGCAATGCTGATTTCGTGCTAAGCCATTACACTTCAAGAAACATTAGAATGCGTCACTCCCACATTCTAATGTAAAAAAAATTGATGACTAGGCTGTATGGGCATTGTTGCCTTTGCCTTCCCTAAAAAGGAGAACGTTAAAAAAAGACAAGACAGTTTGGCTGACGTTAACTGTCAGTTTTTGTGTGTGTGTCGTTTGCGTTGCTATTTAATTATCGAAAAAGAACAAAAAACTTATTTCGGCTGTGGCAAATAATTAACTAAATCACTAATCAACTTAAAAAATGAAGAGAGGATATGAATCTATGAGTACCTCTGTTGATATAAGCTCCTATCGGGATCAACATTTTAAGGTGCATGCAATGCAATAAGATGTCCACTAATTTTACCTCAATATTTTTACCATATACATTAATATTTTATGTAAGTTTTAAAAGCGTTTTCTATGTATAGCAACTAAAAGTAATCTAATATTTCTTCAGGGTTCCAGAAGTGAACAAGAGAAATTACTGAGAACATCGTCAACTCTGTACATTGGAAATTTATCATTTTATACAACAGAAGAACAAATATACGAGCTATTTTCGAAATGTGGTGATATACGGAGGGTCATAATGGGATTAGATAAGTACAAAAAAACCCCTTGTGGATTTTGCTTTATGGAATATTATACTAGACAAGATGCAGAAAATTGCATGAGGTAAATATATTTAGCATATTCATTATACAATCATAGGCACATATATATATGATTGTATAACCTACTTTATAGTAAGTTCAATAAAAAATTGCAAATCAAGTGTAGATTTTATACTTTAATGTTGCAGCCCCCTAATAATAAACAGGGAATAAGCTTCAACTAGTTATGCTATGTTTTGTTTATGTCACTGTAATGCCATTTGTCTTTCGATGAACAGAGACGAAACATGCAAGTAACTAATCCAAGCTTATTCTTCATTTATTAATAAGGGGGATAAACTTGTGTATCAGTAAATTTTACTGTAGAATAATAAATAATTTGAAACCATGAGTTACATACATTCATAATAATTCTGTTTATATATTAAAGGTTTATAAATGGAACAAGATTGGATGACAGAATAATTAGATGTGACTGGGATGCTGGCTTTATTGAGGGGAGGCAATATGGACGTGGTAAAACAGGTGGCCAGGTAATATTATAATATCCAGTTTACTTATTACCTTTAAGGTAAATGAGTTGCCATTCTTTACAATGTTTTTTTGAATCTCGTATTATAATAATAATAATGCTAAATGCATTTTTGTTATTATACTTCCAGAGATATACAAAATGATTACAGTTTCCACAAATCCAATTAATAATAGTAATAATTCCGCTACTATTAATTATTAGTAGTAGTGGAACTCATTCAATTTCTCATTTTGAACTTGTGTAGCTTAATTAATGCAATAATTTCATCATTAAGAATATCAAACTTTTTTATTAAAAAACAATACAAGTTTGCCAAGTCAGTGCATATTGTTATAAAATTATTAATGAGATTTCTATATTTCTCTGTTTAGTTTTCTCAAGACCCTGTTTTAACAGTTATTGGTTTTCACAGGTGCGTGACGAATATAGAACTGATTATGATGGTGGCCGTGGTGGATATGGAAAAATTATTGCGCAAAAGATTGTCCCAAACACATTGGAACGTTGATGGGAGGACTGAGTGATGTGAAAAATTAGTAAATGTCCAACTATACACTTATTGTTAACTCATGAAAGACTGTCATTTAAGATGCATTTGGTATATAATATGTGAGAGAATTACAATTAAAAAATCAAACTGCATTTTTATAAATAAAAGCTGTTTATTTGCAAAATCATTTTCAAATATTAATATGTAAGGCATAATAAACAATGATCCTTGCTAGGTTGTTGCATTAGAAATAATAAAAAAGTTAATGATCACAAAAAAGAAATACTCCTATGAGCAACATATAAATTAGAAACTTAATGGTTAAACTTAATATTAAATGCATAACATTCACTTTCATAAGCTACAGATTCATAATAAGCACTATAAAATTTGGTTAATAAATCTCAATAGTTTATGGAAAAACATATTTAAAATTAAATCTATTATAAAAATAAATATATGTGCTTTAAGCCAACATTCATTATATAACAACATTAATAAGTAACATCATACAAGAGCATTAAGGTGATTTTAATTTAAATGCAATTTCATTTAACAAATTCTAACTTTCTGTGGATATTAAGTAAATAAATCTATTTGCATTATTTTGCTATAAATATTTATAAAAAGAATAGAGATGTATTAACATTTAATAAGGGTAACAAAATTTAAAAAGGATAATTTTAGTCAACAGTACCACATCTAAAAGAAAATAAAAGTTATATAGGTAACCAAAGCGAGTTGATTTTCTCATCGCCTTCTATGCAAATGATTTTGACCACATACATGGCTAGAGGCATGCCAAGTCGTTTCGCCAGTCTAGTATGAGTTTAAATCACTTGGAACCTAGAACGCTAACCACATTCAAATAGAGACTGAAGTTAGTCACGCGACAGAAATCACCCCTTGTGTAAAGTGCGCCAACAGATAAAGTTGATACATCTCCAGTTGAGTTGACACATGATTCATATGTATTTAGTCTCTAGGTGTAGATTCTGGCATAAGGTCAAACCATAGTGTTTTGGCTTCTCTGAAGTCGTACTGATTAAGATGAATAATAATCTGCAACAAAGAATCTGTATATTGCAACAATTGTGGAATGAGCACTTTTTTTTAATTTACTGAGAGGATTGTATTGTTTAATTAAGTAACAACATTGAAGTTAAATGTAATCACTAAATTAAGTATAAAGGTCATACGGATTGTTTGCACTAGCATTATTTCTAAAGAAGGGTATGTTTTGGCTCTAAATTGCATTTTAAGTGATGAACAAAAAGTTGAAAAGACAACTCGAGAGCGATATGAAAGCATTAACGTTTAAGTTTTGAAATGAGAAAGACGCGCTAATGCGAACGATTTTTGACCACATGCTAAACACTTATTCCCTAATAAACGAGGAATAAGCTTAGACTAGTTACGCCGTGTTATGTTCATATCACTCCAATGCCATTTGTCATTGAATGAACAGAGACAAACCATGGAGTAACTAACACAAGTATTTTCTTCTTTTATAAATAAGAGGGGTAGAAATGATGTAATAAGGTTTTGCAATGGACAGTATGTGACAGGATGCAGAAGAAAAAAAATAAAAAATGTCCAATTTTCGTAAAATACATATCTTGGATACCAGAATGCGTATTCGATTAGTTTTTACATAATTAAAATGACAGCACACAGTATATTTTTTGCCAATCAGTCCACAATGAAGGTTACTGTACAAGAGTTGAATGTCAGTGGGCTAAATTGGCCACATCCACAATGATGACGTCAGAACTCATTAAGCGCCCAGTTTCAGTAATCAACTTCTAGTTAAGGGTAGGTTGAATCTGGTTCCTTTTACTACACTAGTTATTATAATGGACTTACTGGAGTTTGACTATTGAAACCGTTTTTGTATTATGTAAGTCTTTAACTGGTTATTCGTATTTGTAATTTGTAAACAGACAGCATCATACTCTTATCATGCTTATAGGGAAAGGAATGGAAGAGGCTGCTGTCAAGTTTACAAATAGCAAATACGAATAACTTTGTGTAGTGATATGTATACCTGTCCAATGTTCGGGCTGCCGCCTAAGAATCCCTTGTGTGTCGCTACAGTTACTTCCACCTGTCTCGAGTGAAGTTCTGCCAATGGGATCACCCATTCAAATTGCTCATCATATTCGGGCATGCAGCTGTCCTTGACTACCTAAAATTGGAACGCTCTTATTGGAAAGTTCGCCACATGTAAAACCTAATAATTTATTTTTAAATAAAATTTGCGTTTATCAGTAAAGGTAAACAGTACCCTTAGCATGAACCAATATCGAATTCATAACGTTTGCGAGTCCGAAATGTCATTGTCATATGTGTACTGATTTTTAATTCTAGTTACGTACTTTGTGGCGCTGCTGTTCAAGTTTCCATACAAAATTTGACATTGACATTTCCCACTCGCAAACTATTCGAATTCGATAATGGTTCGTGCTAGGGGTACAGTTATGAGAGCCGAAAGCTTCGAATATCGAATCCAAGTCAATGAGCTCTCGCGCATATCCATATATAAAGAATGGACTGCGACGAAAAAATCGTTTCTATTTTCTGTACACTTGTCAAAAAATCGTTGCGATGACTGTGACGAACAAATCGTTACTATTTCCTTTACACTGATTTCTTTACTGTTATACTAGGCGCAGCAACGTACACAGCGAACTTTAGTTGCGCGGTTGATCCGATTCAAAGGGATGGACACAATAACCTCTTTTAAAGTCTTATATTTTTCTTTAACATAATTTTAATTACTATACAACGTAATCTCAAAACATTTTCTTCCATAACGTGCGTTTCTCTCAATTTCCGGGCCTCAAATGTTCGCATTTTTTCACGATTTAGTGATTTTTGTCTTCCTAGGACAAAAGTACTACGTCTGCTCAGTCTATAATTATATTCCAACAGTCACGTAACCAACAGTGAGTGCTTAATCGGTGTCCGCGTCGCCCGCAACGAATCTAATGACGTCATCTCAATAAGTCTACGGTCACGGATAACGTGCGTTTACTTTATTTCTAAATTTTACCATAGTAACTTACAATGGTTTTGCGTTTTGAGTCCTTTGAACGTCCAGGTAATAAGTACAATTTCACATAGGGATCTGGCACATTGGTTGGATCCTTGAGAGGTATATTTCTGTACAAAAATACATATATATTAATTTCCACAAAAAGTGCAATTATGAGAATATGAATGTCATTATTAATATAACAACAAGAAATAGAAGTGTAGTAATAAATATTATTTTATTTCATTCAGTCTTGCTAACTATGTATTTCCTTTGAAATCTTATTTATAATGTGTTCTTAATACTGCCAATACATCTTTTTCATGTTACCCTATTATACATGTATATTTCGAAAACGACTGTAACTATTGAAATAAAAATTTGTATTTAGATAAGTTTTTGCTTCTTAAGTCTACCCTAGTTATACTTCCTGTAAAAAGCCCATGTACTATCAGCCCATTTGATTTATGACCCACAATAAGCTCATATTCTTACAACCATTGCAATACAATAAGATAGATTTTCGCATAAATGTACGTATCTGATTTTGCCGCCTCCCTGTGGCATAATATTGACATAACATTCTATGGAGTTTTACCCCTAGGCTTAGGATATCCTTAGTTTACCAAAGTTCAAGAAATCGAAAGATTTTGAAAGTTATTTCTAAATACAAACGAATTTGAATTTTATCTAAAAGATGATCTTCTGCATTGAAAACAAAGTCGAGTCATCAACTCAATTATCTTTGATCCACATTAATTCAGTTTTCTTATTATTAGAAGGTCCTAAGTGCAATTACGCATTCTAGAAAAAAATATTGTCTGTTTTGACAATTTTAAGCGAAATATCAAAGGCAAGTGGGTCAGGAATAAATTTCTTTCATAGTACTTTAAGATAAATGTGGTTTATGGTAGCACCGTACCCTGACCACTAAAGGTCAAAGTCACCGGTTAAAGAGGTAACAAAGACTTCATACTCAAATACTTTTTTGTTGATACACTTTATTGCCTGATAGATTTTTATTGCAGTTTGTAATGTATTTTTTTTACTTACGCTATCTTATGCACCACGATAAACAGAGTTTGATTTTGCATACTGTATCTGAGAGAAAGCAAAATACGTCCCAGACCAGCTTCTCCTGCAGACCTGTGGAAAAGAGTGGTGTGACTTTCAAATATTATAAGACAATACAAAACACTTTATTGTACACCACGGGAAACATTACAATGAATACAGTCATTTAAATCTGGTGTAACAACGGGCGACCTTAGAGCTGAGAGCGATCTCTTCCAGGCAACCTTTGGATGGACAGGATTAGAAGCAAGCGGGAGAGACGGCGGTTTATAATATTTTCTTCTATTTCGATGGTTATATTAACTAGATAATATTTTTTATATTTTGAAGCTTATTTTATATCTGTAAACTTACGTTGTCAACGAAGAGGTCCTATGAACTAATTTTGGTGTATCGCTATCGGACGGAGGTGCTTGTTGATCTTGAGAAACTTCTGTAATACAATATATATAGGTTAAATGTGCATTATGGCCATACTCACAATACGACGCCACATTCACAATAAAACATAAAATATTACAATTAAGTGGCTAAAACATCTGATTCGGAAATAAGAGTGCCAGATTATTTACTGGCCTATCGCCTACAGTACTATTCCAAACTATACTATTCCTTGAAAGAATTATACTATCTGTGTGGTGTTTTTTCCAGGATAGTTATTAGCCATTGACGTATAAAAACAAGTAGACTCACAATCGCACTCAAAAGTGTCGGCACCTAAATTACGCACACGCGTCTATTGTGCGGAAACAGAGCAAATCACACCAGATCTACGCTTACAAATCCTGGATAGTCGTATTTTAGGGAAGTGTCTCTTTAACAAAATTATGTAACTATCTTGGCGTTTTCTATCGTATTGCTAAATAATTAAATTTTATTAGCTACAACAAAATATCCCTCTTCTTGCGTCACATGATTCGTGTGTGCGAGAGAGTCGCATCGTAATCAAACTCTATTTTTCTCTCGCGTATACAATTGACATTGAATCTCACTGGCACGATATAACGTGTTAATTTTAACAAATGTGTCATTGTTATTTTTATTAGTTGATGTATATGTATAGCACAGCGCCGCTCGGACTCTCGAAGAAAAATATTTATATACCACCTACCAATGGGCCAGCGTGGAGAGTCATATCCAAAACTCAATATTCCTTTAAAAAAATGTGTGGAATGGGGCCAATGCAAACACTCCTGGTCCATCGCTACCGCTCCCGGTACGTCACTAACCCAACCAAACTTTAAACCAAGCCTACCACCAGTTTAGCTACTATTGCCCATTTAGTTACCGGTCTAGCTGCCTAGCTAGTTGCCTTGCTAGGTTGTGATGGTAAATTTTCGCTTAGCCCCCATCCGCCATAATGCCCGAAAAGGGACTTTGTTCCGAAAATTGTAGAATTATAAATACTATAGCAGTGGTTCTCAAACTTTTTAAATGACGGAACCCTTTTGGGAAGCAAAATACTTGATGGAACCCTACAATAAAACAATTATTTTTATAAGTGTATTCTATATTAATCAGCATAATAAAAGTACAATGTATCCGTTACTAATTATTATTTACTTCACCACTTGGTAAGGACAATAATAGAAAACATTAAAAAAGAAAAAATCTAACTAGTGGGAGGTATGAAACTGTTTTTTATTTTTCATCAATTGCTTGATATCAGGTTTGATGGAAGAAAGTTGGAGTCTCATATCAGCTTCGGCGTCCAGTCTATTGCGATATTTTGTTTTCGTGGCTGCGTAGGTAGAGAATCCTGTTTCGCACAAATATGTAGTTGGGAACGGGAGAAGAATATCCAGAGCCATTTGGCCAAGCATTGCATATTCATCTTGGATTCTGCACCAAAAATCATTAAGAGGCGTCGTTTTGAACAATGACTCCATACTTGTGTCTGATGACATTTCTAAAAGAGATTCATATATCTCATTTGACATGTTTTCAGGCTTTTCCAAGTTGGGTAAAAAAGGATTATGAATCCAGGAGTTCACTTTAATTTTTGTATTGTGTTCTTCGGGAAAATACTTTTCAAAAGATGCGCGCATCGAACTGAGATATTGGACCAATTCTTCAAACACATTATCTTCAAACATTTCTGAGTCGTTTTCGCTAACAAAATCAGTGAGTAACGTAAAACTTTCTATTTCTTTCTTACCAATGCAAATGATCCAAAAATCTAATTTTCTTTTAAAAGTAGTTATTTTATTATAGGCCTGAAACACTGTTGTCTGTTTACCTTGCAATGATAAATTTAATTCGTTAAGTTTTTGAAAGATATCCGCCATAAAAGACAATCGGAACAACCAAGTTTTATCATACAAACGGTCCTTCAAATTAAAAGAAGTATCTGCTGAAAGAAACATTTGTAACTCGGCTCTAAGTTCAAATAGCCTTGTTAAAGTTTTTCCCCGAGACAGCCATCGCACTTCTGTATGGAGCAGCAGTGTTTTATGTTTGCTGCCATAATCTTCACACAATAATGAGAACAATCGGGATTGTAGTGGTCGTGATTTGATAAAATTAATTATTTTTACCGCTTCATCCATAACTAATTTTAGATTAGACGGCATTTGCTTCATCGCAAGTGCTTGTCTATGCAGAATACAATGACTGGAACTACAATTAGGCGCTTTATTTTTCATTCGTGACACTGCTCCTGCTGTTTTACCTGTCATCGCCTTGGCCCCATCTGTACAAATGTCAATGCAATTGTTCCAACTGAGATTATGTTCTTCAAAAAATATATTTATTTTATTAAAAATTTCTTCCCCGGTAGTGTTTGTAAGCAGCGATGAACACATAAGCATGTCTTCTTCAAAAGAACTTTTATATGGATATCTCACAATAACCAGCAGGATAGCCAAACCAGCGACATCAGTCGACTCGTCCATTTGCAAAGCGAATCGTGTATTTTGTAGACGTGTAACTAGTTCTTGTTTGACGTAGCTTGCCAGATCATGGATTCGTCGTGAAACAGTATCGTTTGATAGCGGAACAGTAGAAAGATGCTTTGCAGATTTTTCATCAAGCATACATTTTGTTATGTCTAATACACATGGTTTTATTAATTTCTCAGCGATAGTGTGCGCTTCACCTGCTTGTGCAATGCGATAGCTAACTAAGTATGATGCCTCCGTGGCCTTTTCGTTGGTAGTTTGTGTTACATGCATCATATTTTTTTGACTTTCTAATAACTGATCTTTTTTGCGAACAAAAAATTCTTTATTCTTGTCTTTAGTCTCGGGGTGTACGGTTTCTAAATGTCGACGCAATTTGGCAGGTGCCATGGAACTATTAGGAAGCAGTTTACTACAGAGCATGCAGAGAGGTGAGCCGTTGGAATCAACAAATCCGAAACTGATATAAGATTCATCATACTTCCTTTTTTTCGTCTTTGAAACCGTCGAGCTTGACGTCGTGGCACTCGTGGCATCATCTTCTGGATCGGTGATTGCTAAATTCTCCGCGCGCATTGCTTTTGAACATTCAGCGTCATTAGAAGATGTTGTTGGAACACGTTTAACACCTTTAAGCCAACGTTCCATTCTTCTTTATTTATAATGTTACAAGTCAGGATAGTGGGGTTTAAATAATGCACAATCGTTACTGCGTATAAGAGACTAAATTTAGAACCTACAGGGAAGAAATGTATAAAACTGAGACAACAGAATACAGCAGGCAGTAAAACAATGAACACCAGTTTCTCGCTAGCGAGCTTGTAAGTAGGTAGTAACTTATCGCTCCGAACGCTAATCATCAACTGACGACGCCAACGCGCGATCGCCGCTTTTATACTTAGTCCTAGACTCGATCTCAAATATTCTCGAAAATACTCGAGTCGGCACCTTTGATAAACAAAAAGCAAAAATAAAAACAGAAATTTAAAAATAGCGTTGTAAACAATATCGACTTTATCCTTTGAAGTTAGAGACGAAAGTCGCTAGTTGACAACTATAGCGTCTAATTCAGAGGCGGCTTTTATCAAAGAGACTGAGCGCTTACAAGTATACCTACCCGCTCGTTTTAAGTTTGCCGCTGGCGATAGGTATGAGTGTATGACGTTCGAAATTTTTTATTTAATTGTAACAATAAAAATTGTGTACGTTAGATATTTGGGTAAAACTATGACACATTATAAGTTTTGTTGTCACGTGGGGGAGGGTACGCGCATTCCACAGACCGGCAAACTTAGAGCGAACGCGTTGTACAAGTATAAAATTGTTGAGACCAAACTTATGAGATATTGTACCAGCTAATGTAACACAAGCTTATACAAATACAAATAAATAAATAAATAACATTCATAGCGTTTTGTCTCCGCGCGGCCGCGGAGTCCGCACAGCCGCGGAGCGACCAGAGAGAGGTGTTTTGATTTTTTTATTTCTAAATTCTTGCGGAACCCCGACAGAGGTATCACGGAACCCTAGGGTTCCGCGGAACACACTTAGAGTATAGCTGTACTATAGAAATTTGATGACGACTGGTACCTGTTTTGATAATTTGCTCCACCGGTATAGACTTCTGCGACGCCGTCTCCGTTGTGTTGTGGTCTTTATCATTGATGTTCTTCAGCTCCACGTCGTTTGTCAACCGTGTCGCTAGAAAATAATAATTTATATCAATTTTGAATATCTGATAGTTCGGACTAGTTCTATTAGGATTTTAAACATACCACAGCAGAATTAGAACAGAATTCGTTTACGACAGATTCGGATTGTCAAAATTGAGTTATATGTATGACAGAAGAAATGCAGTGTATAAAAGTAAACCTGCAAACGAAATATTAATGCCAAGTTAAATAACAGCTCGATGGCGCAAGCGGTTAGTGTGTTCGGCTGCGATCGTTGAAGTTAAGCCACTTTCGCAGTGGTCGGTCATTGGATGGGTGACCAAAAATTTATTATCTCGAGCTCCTTCGTGCTTCGCAAGGCACGTTAAGCCGTTGGTCCCGGCTGCATCTGCAGTCGTTAGCACCCACCAATCCGCAATGGGCCCGCGTGGCGGGTCATGGCCCAATCTCCCTATTCCATTCATGGGGAAGGCCTGTGCCCCAGCAGTAGGGACATTAATAGGCTGATGATGAAGTTTAATTCATATAAAGACGAACGGACGAGCGCGGTCGCTAAGTACTCGCTATCTTCTACATGAGCATTCAACAGCTGTGTATTGTTGTTCTTGTCCTTGTATCAAGGGCGGGTTCAAAATAGGCGGAGACGCGGTCACTAGTTTCATAATTATGCTTTACATCAATATTATTCTGCAAAAGCCCTGTGTAGCATTGAAGTAGGTGTACCTACATCAGCGGCTAGTTCAAGGGGGGCGGAGGCGTCAACATCGTCCGGGTTGGAGGGCGTGTACGTAGACACTAGTTCACACGCGGGCGCGGCCGCTAAATCCTCACTGTCCTCTCTAGCGAGGTGTTCTACAATAGCCTTGTAGTACATGTACTTGCATCAGCGGCTAGTTCAGGGCGAGCGGGGGCGTCAGTAGCATCCCGATTGGAGGACGTGGACGTAGACACTAGTTCACACGCGGGCGCGGCCGCTAAATCCTCACTGTCCTCTATATCAGAGTGTTCAACAATAGCCGCGTGTTGTAGTACGTGTACCTGCATCAGCGGCTAGTTCTGGGCGGGCGGAGGCATCAGTAGCATCCGGGTTAGAGGGCGTGGACGTAGACACTAGTTCACACGCGGGCGGGGCCGCTAGAGACTCACTGTACTCTATATCAGGGTGTTCAACAATAGCCGCGGGTTGTAGTACATGTACCTGCATCAGCGGCTAGTTCAGGGCGAGCGGAGGCGTCAGTAGCATCCGAGTTGGAGGGCGTGGACGTAGACACTAGTTCACACGCGGACGCGGCCGCTAGAGACTCACTGTACTCTATATCAGGGTGTTCAACAATAGCCGCGTGTTGTAGTACATGTACCTGCATCAGCGGCTAGTTCAGGGCGAGCGGAGGCGTCAGTAGCATCCGAGTTGGAGGGCGTGGACGTAGACACTAGTTCACACGCGGACGCGGCCGCTAGAGACTCACTGTACTCTATATCAGGGTGTTCAACAATAGCCGCGTGTTGTAGTACATGTACCTGCATCAGCGGCTAGTTCAGGGCGAGCGGAGGCGTCAGTAGCATCCGAGTTGGAGGGCGTGGACGTAGACACTAGTTCACACGCGGACGCGGCCGCTAGAGACTCACTGTACTCTATATCAGGGTGTTCAACAATAGCCGCGGGTTGTAGTACATGTACCTGCATCAGCGGCTAGTTCAGGGCGAGCGGAGGCGTCAGTAGCATCCGAGTTGGAGGGCGTGGACGTAGACACTAGTTCACACGCGGACGCGGCCGCTAGAGACTCACTGTACTCTATATCAGGGTGTTCAACAATAGCCGCGTGTTGTAGTACATGTACCTGCATCAGCGGCTAGTTCAGGGCGAGCGGAGGCGTCAGTAGCATCCGAGTTGGAGGGCGTGGACGTAGACACTAGTACACACGCGGACGCGGCCGCTAGAGACTCACTGTACTCTATATCAGGGTGTTCAACAATATCCGCGTGTTGTAGTACATGTACCTGCATCAGTGGCCAGTTCAGGGCGAGCGGAGGCGTCAGTAGCGTCTGGGTTGGAGGGCGTGGACGTAGATATTAGTTCACAAGCGGGCGCGGCCGCTAGATCCTCACCGTCCTCTGCATCAACCTCTTTAACCGCTTCTTTCAGTATCTAAAACAAGAGACTTTATTCCATTGATATTCACAAATATAATAATCGCTAGTCGTATTCTTTTTGAGGTTAGCAGCGCTTCGAAAGTGCAATAACATGAGGCTGATCTGAATATACTTGGGTTTGAATATCGCCTCATTATTTACAACTCAACGTCGCGTCGCCACATTTGACGTTGGTTGGGTTAAGTTATAGTTCAAAAGAAATAGAAAAGTGACTCTCATTAAAAAGGAAGAACTAATAAAATTATCAATGTTGTAGTTTTACGTTTGTAACTACATACGCTTGCTTAGGCATAATACAAAAAAATATTTACCTTCAATTGCAAAGACAAGATGATCTTGGATTCAGCTCCCGACTTTTGTAGGTTGAGTGGTTGCGTTAGCATACTCAAGTCCCTTTCCCTCAGCAAAGACGCTATAGAATATACCAGTTGACCTAATTGATTTCCAGTCTTTTGATCGAGCACCTGAAAATAAATAAATAAATTGAAACCGCAATGGCCGCACCCAATGATGTCAATTAAGACAGTTTACTTTTTATTACTCCGGCGGGTGCAGTTTATCATCTGACGTTAAAACTTTATCATAAAATACATATGATACACAGATATTAAGGTCTTTACCTATGAAATGGCCGTTTTTCATGAAATAAGTTAACTTTTTTTTTCTGTATTTTATTTTTATTTATCAAAGTAATCAATGCATATTTTGCCAACGTAGTGGTAGCTTATTGATGCCCTTTTTGAAAAAGTCTGCTGGACGGGAGGCAAAAAAGGCATTTTGAACTGCCTCTCGGTTATTGAATTTCCCCCCCGCTAAGAAGTTATCCCAATTCTGTAGAAGTCTGTAGGGGCAAAATCTGGTGAGTACGGTGGATGAAGGAGAACTTTCATCCCAAGCTCTTGTGACTTGGAGACTGTCTGCTGTGCAGTATTAGGTCGTGCATTGTCGTGCAGGAGCAAAGGAGCCGAACCGAGCCGATTAAAGCTGGTTGGAGATGTGCGAGCTTCTTTATAGCACACATCTGCAGAATTGTTTATTACGTTTGGTAAGAAGCTGTGATAAATGAATCCGGCGCTAGACCACTAAACAGTGACCATCACTTTTTTTGGGGTCAGTTTTCGTTTGGGGCATTGTTTAGGTGCTGAACCTGGATCTAACCAACTTGCTGAGCGGTTGCGATTATCGAACAGGACCCATTTTTCGTCGCAAGTAACAAATCGATTTAATATGAACTTGTTTGTGTGCCTGTCGTGCAGTACAAAGCTCGGAGTCGAGGCGTGCTTCGCGCTTATTTTACCTTGCCAATTTGACGCAAATGGGCTAATGTTGTTTCGATGCTAACATCGAAAACTACTGCTAATTCAGCCGTAGTTTGAGTATCATCAGCTTTCACAATCACCTTTAATTCGTCATTGTCGACTAAAGTTTTCGGTTGACCACGGGGGTTTATTTCATAGGTCTAAATTTCCAGAACGGTAACGGGGAAACCAATAACGGGTGGTGCGATCGTTATTAGAGTTCGCTCCGTATACGTCGTTGATGTTGCGTGCCGCTACAGCCGCTTTGCTGCCGCGACGGTACTCATATTCCATAATCACTGGAATTTTTAAAGTATTAGTGCAGTCATTGAAGCGAAAAATACGGTCTTACCTCTGAATTTTTTTACTGTGAACCGATTTGCATGAAATTTTGCAATTAGGCTCATCTTACCCTTAACTTCAAAAGTGAAAATGATCTGAACTCCGCCTATTATTTTTAAGGGGTGTAAACAACCCCTTAATGGAAAAATTGACATTGAGCCATTTTATCGCTAGAAAACATGTCTAATAGTAAGTAATGAAATTGTAAAGTATTTTCTAACATAATTACCTCATATTAAAATCATTTTCAACCCCTTGAAAATCATACAACCCTTTCAAACAACCCCTAAATTAAAAAAAATCACAAAAAAATACTTTGGTATGACATAAAAAGATGTAAGTATAGAGTAAGTAATATTTTATATTCTCTATAATAATTATCAAATTTTTAACCCCCTTTCAACCCTTGAAAACTACCCCTTGATAAAAAATTGTTAAATTTTTTTTTTGATAAAATGTAAAGGATTTTAATATTATTCCACACTCTCGAAAATGATTATCATATTCTTAAGCTTTTCTACCCTTAAAACTACCCCTAAATTAAAACAGTAAATATATATGATTACATATTTAAAAAATCATTTAATTTAGAGTAAAAAATTGCCATTTATTGAATAAAATATTTACTAATTGTATAAAATTGTACTATAATTATTAAAATATAATATTATTATTCATGACTCAATGTCGGAGTCGCTGTCACATTCAACATCTTCTGGCTGAATGAGAGGGCTATTTTGGCAGTTATCTCCACTGCACGTTCCACAGTGTACTATTATAAAACAGACCAACTTTTCTGTATCCGCAAGACGCTCCACATACTTTTTTGCAGTTGCAAAAAATCATTTTCAGCAGTTCTTGTGGTGCGGGTGGATCTACAGACTTAAGTGGATTTAATAAACCGTCATTCATGACCCACCCCCAATCCGTTGGATGAATGATGATGATGATGATGAAATGATGAAATGTGTTATATATACATATAAGAACGTTGGTATCTATTCATGCCTACGTTTCCAAAATATATGAGCCATATAATGTATATATATACACATTACAATAGTTGAGGGTCTCTATTATACTGCGTACTTTCACATTGCTCCAAATATTCACACACCGAAATTTTCAGTTACTAAGTAGAAAAAAATATGATAAGTTTTTGGACCATAACTCCTTCAATTTTCATGCTATCACAATTTGTGAAAAACCATTGTAAAGGTAATTAAGAGAGCTACAACATCCTTCATTGCAATATATATTAAAAAACCTTTTTCTAAAACGGTGAAGGGTTAAAGGGCTTAAGAGAGGCTGTGATTGCGCTGCCACGCGCTCTTTAAACAATCATATCTCCGTCAATTTTTGTTTGACAGAAAAAACAAAAAAACCAAATTGTTTGTCAAAAAAATACCTAAATTTTTAATCCGTACACTTTTATACGTATCTGTCGTCATTTTTGAGATATTATGAAAAAAAAGTGGGTTTTTTAAAAATTTGAAATTTTGGTTTTTCTTTTAATCGTGACTTTTTTGAAAAATATGTGTCCTGAAGCAGCCAAACTGATACTATCTATCAAACTCTTCATAATAAAGTTAATTCTAGGCGGAATACGATTAATTTTAATTTTGGTGGAAATGGCACTTATAAAACCCATTGATTTAAAAGAAAAAAACATTAGATGCTCCCCTTATTTACAATACAGCTCACTTATTTTACGTGCAAAAGACTTTTAATAGTGCTCATTTTAAAGCTTACTTCAAGCACTGCAAAACCCTTTTGTATTAGAATGCATAAAATGCATCTGACAAAATAAAAAACAGCTTTGATCTTTAATATCTAGCTTAATATTGCACTTAGAATACTTTATAAAAAACCAAATTGTTCATTGTTTTACCTGCTACAATTTTGTTCTTTATAAAATTTTCGATAAAATTTATATTTTTGGAGATATTTGCAAAAAACCGATGAAAAACAGGAAATTTCGAATTTTCTATTGCCAATAACTTGAAAAGTATTGGATTTTTTGAAAAACTTTATAGATGATTTTTTGCTTAAAATTAGGCTTTCCATCGACATCCGAGGTTAATTTGAAAAAAAAATCACCCCCGAGAAGGGGTGGCAACCACCCCCAGGGTGGTTGCGGAGTTCAAATCATTTTCACTTTTGAAGTTAAGGGTAAAAATTGTATGCAATTCGGTTCACAGTAAAAAAATTCGGAGCAATAATGCTTCAATGACTGCACTATATCCATGATGAAGAAAAACGTGCAAATGCGTTATATAAAGAATACTGACCATGAAACGAATGACTAATTTCAAAAAAGAATTCCATATTGCAAAAATAAGAATAATTTGAACTTTTCTTAGCAGAAAAAAAAATTGGAGTACAGTACAGCGGAACGGCAATTTCATAGGTAAAGACCGATAATTTCATTGTTGAATGATGTGATGCTGAGCATTGGGCTCTCCCAAAAAGTGCCGATTTTAAATTGTGCAAACCATCTTCGGGGGTTTTTCCATAATCAACAGGTTTGGGAGGTGGCACCAGAAAAAAAAACATCCGTGATTTAGCAAAATCCCTAGGATTTTCGCGAAAATTCGATGTATCATATCATCTTACAACATATATGTCATTCTGGTGTAGTATGCCTTTGTCATTCTTAATACATAACGAAAAGGAGAGGCTGGTGTTAAATTTAGAGAATCATGCCAGAATCGACAACATTTTTAGGGTTATTTTAATTTTAACAAAAACTACAGAATGACCTACCTTGATGTCGAGGACGTTTATTTCTGGGTTCTGCACGAGGAACGAGTATCCGATCTCGTACACGGGGTTATCTGTGCGCATCTGGACGGCGGAGTTCTCGCTCTTCTTGCCCACAGACACCACCAGGTATGGGTCCGGACGGGAGTGCACGCGTGCATTCTACAGAGGAAACATAAAACCTAGCTATGTTTTCAAATGATTCAGTTAAGATCTTTAGTTCACGTAGCTGAGCTGTTATATCAGTTTGTGTATTTTTCTTTCGACATTAAGTGTCTAGCAATAAAAATATCCATATTTTGTCCATAATAAATAAGTAAGGTCTGGCAGCCTTGGGAGCTTGTACTATAAGTACTAGTGGTCGCTTATAGGTTACATTATATAGTTAGACTATATATTTTGCCATCATTTAATCATGGAGAGTAAAATTTATATTATAATTTCCATTTTTTACGTTGACTTAACATTTAAAATATGTAAACATCAGTAGGTACGTTTCGGATTTATACTGTGTTTATCAAACAACCTGTACTTTCAGGACAAATTCATTTGAATGATTTTTTATTTGTTTTGAACGCAATTAAGTGGATTCCAAATTGAACCAATTGAACCTGAATGATTATCACGATTACATTAGAAGCATAATATAAAATACGTCTGTTAGAAATAAATAGAACGTTGCCATAAAAGGTAATTGGTCACAGTCTTAAATATATAACAGTTAAATAAAAGTTTAAGTAGTTGTTGAACTTACAGGTAAGTTCCTACAAGAGTCGATGTACACATTAAGTACTGCCGAACTTATTTCACCTGTTTTCACCAATTGAGTTTCGGTGATAGCCTGGAACAAAGAAGGTGTACTGTGAAGATGTATCAGAATAACAAATAACAACTGTATTGCTTATAAACGTAACGCAGCCACCTCGAATATACCTCGCAAGTATGGAACCCTCAGTACCAGACTTATATTTCGAGGATCGAAGCTATATAAAAACGGTTTCTAAGTCATATTTAATTTAAATGTAGGAAATTTCACAATGGTTACTTCAGTAGATGTAAAGCGTTTCACACTTTACCGCTTCAGAAACGCAGAGAAATGGCGGACATGTCCCTTCTATTGAAGACCGTTAATAGCAGCATCGACTGCCTTGAATTATTAAGCAAAATATTTATTAGTACCCCAGACAAAATCACTAGACACACTAAAACTTTTTATGTGCCGTTATTCTCAACTAATTATCGTCAAAATTCTTTCACAATTAGAGCTCCTCACACTTTTAACCAGTACTCATCAGCCCTGTTAGATGTTGATTAATTTTGAGACAGCTTAAAATTCTTTTATAAAAAAAACTTTTCTTTGACCGAGATCTTAAACTATGTATTCTTTATCTTGCTGTATTTTAATCGCTTATAAGTATATATAGTATACATACCAACTTAAAAATGCATTTAAGCATCATGTGCACTACATGCCGACTTTTTTAATAATTTCTGTAACTATCTGCGCAAACTATTAATTGGCCTTAAACATAAATATTATGTAGAATGCAGTTTCCCAAAAATTTTAAAATTAAAAAAATAAAATAAAAATATATAAATACTTACATGGCTCAGATCAAGTAAATTCGATGACAGGCGATGCCATGACAGGCGCAAATGCACCTTGCCATGTTTGGCTTCCTGTAGAGTTTGCCACTGAAACAAATGAACATAGGTAGTTATTAAAATGTAGTTTTTTGTTGTTATTCGAACTTAAGTAAGAATAAATCTCTATATTATTATTATTTTTTATAAACACATCAATTAGCCTAGCCCCAAAGTAAGCACTATAAGGCTTGTGTTATGTGATACTAGGGTAACGGATAGAATACATATACTTTACATATATAAGTATATTTATATAGAAATACATATTAAACATCCATGACTGGAGTACAAATGCTCGTGTTCATCACACAAACATCTGCCCCCACCGGGATTCGAACCCGGGACCTCTCGAGTCGGCGACGCCATGAAACCCGGCGTACAAACCACTCGGCCACGGAGGTCGTCAAAATATTCTTAACATCTATTTTATTTAACAAATACGGTATACGAATATAAGCTTAACCTATATTATATTAGCCCAAACCATTATCGAATTCAAATAGTTTAATTCCGTAGATACGTCAAATGTGTACTGATTTTTAGTTCTCGTTACGTCCGTTGTGGAGCTGCTGTTCAAGTTTTCATACAAAATTTGCAATATCGAATTCGAATACAAATTCGATATTGCTTCAGTAAGCTAAGAGTACAGTTCTGTTATTCTCTCGGGAGCGTTGAAAAGGCCAGTTAAATGGTAAAAAAAAACAACTGGCTCATAGGAAACTTAAGAAAATAACACTTACAGTATCTAAACGTCCCTCTCGCACCACCTGAGATATGTCCAACGAACACCTGTAATATTGCTCATGTTGATTATACAAAACATCACTATATCACTATCGCTGTCGTTAATCTTATGTTAGTATTTTGATTAACATTTAGCGGTGAGTTAGCGAGGCAGCTAAATTAAACATGTGTTATATTATATCTTCTACATTACAACTTTATACGAAACGCTGATTCACATCACAACAGACAATGTCTAAAACTGTTTATAGCTATTGTACCTTCAGCTTTTGAATTTTGTAGATTGACTTTGGTGCCGAAACATTGTGCGCGTCCTTAACCTTTTACTTTCAGAGGCCCAAGCATGAACTTTGACAACTTCGTATCTAATCGTATCGCATCGTCAGAGTCCCTCCGTAGCAAGTGGACAGATTCACAACTGGACTGATTCTCAGGTGGACAGATTAGCAGCTGGACAGAGTACAGTCGTGAAATATAGCTAATAAATTGTAAGTCTTTATTAAATAAACAATAAAATTAAACGAATTTGAGTAAAACAACTTTTGAACTTCTGAATATGGGGAGAAAACTAATTTTGAGACAGCGAACGTAGGCGATCTAAGCATTTCAGAACTGAAATTTTGTCATTAACGCAATCCGATAGCCTGTTCTATATCTGCTTATCAATGGAGATTGCATTTATTTATTTCTCCACCGCCTGTACATAGAAGCATACGTATACAAAGCAGTCGTAATAAGTAATCAACAGAATAAGCGAGAAAAGTAGTCTCAAACTAGTGGGAAAAAAGTAGTAACACGTGTGTATGATTGAAAAAAAAAACAGAGTAAATAACTATATAAATTGCACCAATATTGCATTATATGCAATAGGATCAAATCAATACTGGACAAACGACTGTACAAAAGGTTGTCGTTTTGTCGTGGACAGTACATGGCCTGTCCAGTTGCTAATCCGTCCATTTGAGAATCTGTCCAGTTGCGAATCTGTCCACCTGTTACGGAGGGGTCAAAGTTTCTATGAAAGCTTAGCAGCGCCCGGCCCCCACGTGCGTAAGTGGATCCTTACATATAAAATTTGACGATGACGATACGATTACGAAGCAGTCAAAGTTCGTGCTTGGGCCTTAGTTTAAGCGACTTCGTTTTCTGGCGAAAACGTAATTACGTATTTTTTTCATAGTGACAGTGTTACAAGTTGCTTGCAAAACCATTGTTACTAATAGATTAAATTTTAGACAGGGTCTAAATTTGACCATCGTTTTGTAGCACTTAATGTTTGCGAATAGCATTAGTACGACATCAAACATAATTACAAAACACATAATGCTTAAGCTTCATCAATTAAAAATATAATAATAATTAATTTAATAGCAGAATGTTATTTTGATATCAAAAGAAGATTTATAATTAATGTTTTGGTAAAAAATAAGAGTGTTAATAAATAGGTATAAAAAGAGAATTGAAGTGCTTATTAAATACGTGTGTCAATTAGGTAATAGTTACAGAAATTCCCCCGTAGCTTATTGGGTTTATCCAGTAATTGACAACTGGCTGCGAGCAAACGCAATCAAGTTTCACTGCGTTTGTGCATCGAACCTTTTTTTTGATGACGGAGAAAACATATAAGAACGAACGATTTACGAAGAAACTGCTTGCTCGCAATACGCGATCGTTTATAGTGTAGGAGGAGTGGAAAGTGAGTCTGGAAGATTGAGAGCTGATTCTGAAGAATAAATGTTCGACTTAACAATTTCTACAATCCCATAATAATTTTATATTTCAAGTTAATACTAATATAGTCCGTTACTCAGTGACATTCGGTGGAGGGAGACTACAGACTGACAAATGGTCATCAATAAAGTAAGTACAACTCATTTCATGATTTTTTACCCGTCCCCCGTCCTAGTCACAGTTGGTCACATTTGTGAGTCCCCCCTCCCTAGTGTGACGTCACATATTTTGCATTTAGAAATTGGGGGCATTCCACGTGAAGCGGACAGGTAAAAAAACTCGATGTTTCCGATTTCAGTAATATTTGAGTATGTTTTACTTATACTTATTATTGATACGCGTACCAAATATTTTTGTGATATAATGACTAGTTAAAGAGTAATGGGACTGTGAAGTTTTCGACAACCGGTTGGCATGCAGTACTTCAAAGCCGATTATGGACTCATAAAATTATATATTAAAATAACTAAACCAGTGGATTTCCTACTTTATTTACTGGGCTTTTTAACTGTGTTTTTGGAAAAGAAAAAAATATCTTTTTTTCGGAAAAAAAATCCAATTTAAGTTTTTTTCCTTGATTTTCATCAAGTTAGACCATTTACTTTTTTTTTATTTTTTTTTATATAAATTGCTAATATTGTATAGAACATTGGTGCCAACTTTCATAATGGGCGTGAAAGTGGATTAGGAGCTAGACTGAAAATACTGCCGAAGGGTGGCGTCCAGCGCCGCGCCTGTTGACCGCCGCTTGTACGCGATTAGTCATCAAACTGTATATCAAATAAAATCACTTTTGACGGAATGTTTTGTAGATTTTTAATAAACCAATACATAGAAAAAATTCCACGCGGACCAGGCGGCAGACGGGACTCGAACCCGCACCCTTCGCAATCCGGGCGAATGCACTGAACAATTATGCTACCGCGGCCCTCACGGACCGCGTCAAAATTCCTCTAGCCATTCTTAAGCAGCAAGGCAGCGCCATCTCTTCGCATTATAGGTAATCCAAAATGTTATATTAGGGGCCGTTCATAAAATACGTCACGCTAAAATCAGCTTTTTCCGACCCCCTCCCCCCCTATTGTCACGCTGTGTCACACTTTCTGTGACCCTCTTGAAATATTCCGTCACAAAAACGGAGACCCCCCCCCCCTCCCCAAGTATGATTAATTTTAATATTTAAGATTAATTCTTAATAAGAATGGCTAGAGGAATTTCGACGCGGTCCGTGAGGGTCACGGTAGCATAATTAGTCAGTGCATTCGCCCGGATTGCGAAGGGTGCGGGTTCGAGTCCCGTCTGCTGCCTGGTCCGCGTGGATTTTTTTCTAATTATATTTTCTTTAGATTTAAACATCAAGCAGTTACATGCTTTAAAGAAATATAAATTATAACTATAATTGCTATTTCTTCTGTCAAATGTTTAATACTTGTAAAAGTATTCATTTGACATTGTGGGTTACCTATAATGCGAAGAGATGGCGCTGCCTTGCAGCTTAAGAATGGCTAGAGGAATTTCGACGCGGTCCGTGAGGGCCGCAGTAGCATAATTGGTCAGTGCATTCGCCCGGATTGCGAAGGGTGCGGGTTCGAGACCCGTCTGCTGCTTGGTCCGCGTGGATTTTTTTCTATGTATTGGTTTTATTAAAAATCTACAAAACATTCCGTCAAAAGTGATTTTATTTGATTGAAAGTTTAGATGACTAATCGCGCACAAGCGGCGGTCAACAGGCGCGGCGCTGGACGCCACCCTTCGGCAGTATTTTCAGTCTAGCTCCTAATCCAATTTTACGCCCATTATAAAAGTTGGCACCAATGTTCTACACAATATTAGCAATTTATATAAAAAAAATAAAAAAAAACTAAATGGTCTAACTTGGTGAAAATCAAGGAAAAAAACTTAAATTGGATCTTTTTTACGAAAAAAAATTTATTTTTTCTTTTCCAAAAACACAGTTAAAAAGCCCGGTAAATAAAGTAGGAAATCCAGTGGTTTACTTATTTTAATATATAATTTTATGAGTCCATAATCGGCTTTGAAGTACTGCATGCCAACCGGTTGTCGAAAACTTCAAAGTCCCATTACTCTTTAACTAGTCATTATATCACAAAAATATTTGGTACGCGTATCAATAATAAGTATAAGTAGAACATACTCAAATATTACTGAAATCGGAAACATCGAGTTTTTTTACCTGTCCGCTTCGCGTGGAATGCCCCAATTATTAAATTAAAAAGAGTTCCAAAAATAAATTAAAATCCATGAGTTCTAAATATTTTAAAGTTTTTTGATAACAGTTCAAAAGTATTAGATTTTGAAATGTGACGTCATAAAATTTAGTTAACGCTTTTAGTTTGTAACTTACCTCTCCCACCCCTTGTCGTCACACAATACAATGTCACACTTCGACGACCCCTTCCATTCCCCGTGACGTATGACGTACTTTATAGATGACCCCCAAGAGTGGAGGGGTGAGGAAGGTAGGCTGCACTTTCTCCACAGATATTCTGCTTCCCCTTACGCCCCTCGCATAGGTACACCCTAACGCACACCCAATAAGCTACGAGCAGTGTAGTTTTTGATGTTATATACAAACAAAAAAAGAAACGTGACTGTATCCTTTGTGGTGAGTGCTTAAAATAATTTTACATTATATTATTTACAAAATTATGCTTCACTTCCCGTATTTTAAGTTTTTCTTTAATATTATGAATAGTGACAGACAGTGTCAGGTGAATTGAAGTAGTTTGTCATAGGTTATAGCCATACGTTTACGTGGCAGTCGTCTCAATGTAAGCTGTGTGCAGTGATATTTGTTCGATGCACATTCCTATTATACGGTGAGCTACAAGACATCACAGAAGTATTGGCGCCGCTAGCGTAAACGTCTAGACACGAAAGTATCAATCTTTTCATAAGATAAATTTCAGTCGCAAACGTAGCCACAATTTTGAGGATATGACATTAAATTCATTTGTTCCACTAGGAACCGGTCTTGTATTCTAAGAATGTTGGTAGAAATTAGCTTTTTGAACTGTGCTTTGCTTACTAGCTTTCTGAAAAAATGCCCTCCAGGTGAATATAATCCAAATACCGCGTTATTTATATATTAAACATAACATAAAACATTGTTGGCATTAGCCATATTTAAACAATGACAATAGCATACCATGTAATTATCCTATTCCTTACGCTTACGCTTTTTAAAGAATGAAAACCGATAGACACTTGTCAAATGAGATGCAACAGTCAGCTGTAGTCAGTTCACTGACTGAATGCGTGTGTCATGTCGTAGGTATCGATTCCCTAAGACG